ATGGCTATCGGTAACAGACGGCAAGACGTGTGAAATCCGATTTGAATGCATATCTTACGGTATTATTTTTATTTATTATATTATATTTGTTTTCCTAAATTAGAACCAACCTTGCTGATGAAATACCGTAAAATAACCTAAATCCTTTCAACAACGTTACTCGATTGGAACAGTCTGTCTTTCTGAGATCTGCAAATGTGAATGAAGTGACGGGAATTATAAACGAGCTCAATGTAAAAAATAGCAGTGGACCTGATAATTTCCCTGCTAGTGTCATAAACAGTAAAGCAACTAAGTTTTCAGACATTCTTGTTCACCTTTTCAATCAAATACTGGAACAAGGTACATATCCTGACTGTCTCAAAAGAGCAAATCTGGCTAAGTGTCTGATCCCTGCAATTTTCGACCTGTCTCTACTCTTTCTGCGTTTAGCAAAAATTTTGAAAATTTTTGGTTAATAGATTAGTTATTTTTTTGAATCAACATGATATTCTTTACAAACTTCAATACGGTTTCAGAAAGGGATGTAGCACTTCTACAGCCATAGTAGAACTTATTGAGCTCCTGTGTAGTCAAACTGACAGTAAGTGCGTTGTTAGTGGTTTCTTTATTGACCTAAAAAAGGCGTTCGATACTCTGAATCATAGCATTCTTTTGCAAAAATTTGAATACTTTGGAATACGAAGTGTAGCAAATTACATTATTCGAAGTTATTTAACTAATAGGCAGCAATATGTAGCTATCGAGCTATTGGTGTCCCTCAAGGCAGTAACATTGAACCTCTTTTATTCCTTACTTACACAAACGATCTTGGGAATCTGCCTCTTAAAGATGTACCATGGTTATTCGCTGATGATACAGCAACCTTCTATCCAAGTCAAGATACTTCTCCCATCATTTCTAGCATGAATGATGATTTGCAAATTTTCATGAGGTTCTTTGATTCAAATTTATTATCTTTTTTATTCTGGGTTTGCTTTAGTCGAAGAGGTGACAATTTCGTCTACCATCGATAAAGTTACGCCTTTGTTTCTGCACATCCGCAATCTTCTTCTTCTCCGCATTTCAAGCTTATTGCATATCGCATATTAGCTTATTGCGTGCTCTCAACATAGTGTTCTAGATGCACTTCCACAGTTATTAATTTAGAGCTTTCGATGCCTGTATCATTTTTGCATTGGTATAATTGTGTGGCAAATCCAATCATACTTCTATGCCCAGGGAAGTCGAGAAATTTTCCAACCCGAAAAATTCCTAGACCGGATCGGGAATTGAACCCAGCCACCTCCAGCATGGTCTTGCTTTGTAGCTGCGCCTTTACCGACTGAGCTAAGGGAGGCCCCTTAGCAATTCAAAGGGACATCGTGCCAAAATCTTGTGAACTGGTTGAATTTGCAGATACAGGTTTGAGGACTTCCAGTTTCTCTCTCATGTTCTTGACAGAATGAAGCTGAATGCTTGTCAAGAACGATCAGAAAAATTGAAAATGTAAACACAAACTCAAAAGTCATTATTACTTTCAGGGTTGCCAAACTCATATCCCATGACATAATAATTAGCGCACTTCGATACGTTCGGCACAGCGGTTGGCACAGCTTTCGACCCAACTTAATCTCTCGGCACGCATTAAGATGTGCAGAGTTGAATACCCTTTGATAAGATCATTGTTTCAGTCTTCCTTCTTGTCATAGGCCGTTGCTCGAACTTTTCTTCCTACACGAGCCCTGTTTCCTGTGTGGTTTCCAAATTCCATTTCCGCTTGAAATCCTTCAGATCAATTGCAGTTCCACCAACAATCAATACGAAACTAACGATTTTAAATTGGCTCACTACTTGACTAGCCTATTGGTCCCAAGCAAATCGACTAACGTATCCCATTCTAGTATAAATTCCAGTACTACACTATGTTTGTTTTGATTCGCTATGAAAGTTTGACAGATAAAATGAGGGGTTAGTGGATTTTCGTATGTTTTGAGGGGTGAATTGATTAGCTTGGGACCGAAGATAGTACTAGAGGTGAGCCAAAAAGTTGAGCTCGTTTCTTCGGGACCTTCTGGTCTTAGAGTTACCTCTATGGTTCCATCCTTTTTCTTCAGTATGTGAGCTTCGCAATTGACCAGTATTCCTTAATTGGCCTTAGTTCCGAAGTATTGGCCAGATTCATCAACCTTGGGAAAAATTGGTTCGGTTTTTTTCTTTTCCCTGTACCACCATAGAGGAAAGTCTAAGACCAATAGGTCCCGAAGAAACGAGCTCAACTTTTTGGCTCAGCTCTGGTACTATCTTCGGTCCCAAGCTATTTGATGCACCCCTGGAAACATAGGAAAATCAACGAACCCCTCATTTTATCTGTCAAATTTTCATAGCAAATCAAAACAAACATAGTGTAGTACTAGAATTTTGACTAGAAAGGGGTACGTTAATCGATTTGCTTGGGACCTATAGGCTAGTAAAGTAGTGAGCCAATTTAAAATCGTTAGTTTCGTATTGATTGTTGGTACCACTGTTTGGTGGAAATTGAGTTGTGGAAGCTTGCCAAGTCCGGCCAGAATAGGCAATCCACTTCATGTTGCTCCAGAAAAGGCAGTAGTCTCTTCCGTAGGCACTCGTTTCGCTTTTCAGCCCACAACTGCAGATTTCTTGCCAGACAAGGAACTTTTTGGTGAATTTCAACTTGCTCCGGTTAAGCCACGATGTAAACAAATGCACTGTGAAGTACAAGCAAAACGAACAAATGAGCGAGGGTGACGACTCTATCTACGATGCAAAAAAGATTGTGTTTTGCTGTGGCAAGCTGCGCGCACGCTGAGTAGATAGAAAGAAGATTGATGACGATTCTGAAGATTTCCTGCAAAAAATTGATGAGCGATGCAAGTAGATGCGACAAATGAAAGAAGATTGTTCGAAGATTGATTCGCTAGTGTGAGATTTGTTGACCATCTAATCTTGAGATTTAGATGTGTCGCCCCCCTCGCAAATGAGTTCATTATACATCAACGAATACGCGTTTGCTGATAGTCACCTATGTTTGATTGTCCAACCCAAAATTTTCAAAATCAGAAGCGATCCTCAAAAGCAAAATAATCAAATTCATTTTGGGCAAAATGATTATTTTGAATATGGTCGATTCCAGAGCCTAAAACCTCGATATTATCATCAATTCAGCATAAGGCGGCTATAATTTTCCATCAATCTGTGTATAAAAACCAACACAACACGTTTTACAGCGCTGTATTTGTGTAATATGAAAATAATCATTTTGCATTTGATCCTCAAAATCATCCCCACCAAGATGAAGATGAATATTGATATTGACAACAACACAGGCGATAATGAACTTCCAGCCACGAATGAACAAAAAAAAAAATGTTGACTTCAATACTCAGAGGGTGCCTTGATCAAGAGAATGTGTTTATGCCAAAATTCAAATTCGTGCAGGTAGTTGGTCTATCTGTTAAGGTTGTCTTCATTTTCAACTAAGTTGAGTGTAGAAGGAATGATTTTTATCAGCACTGATCCTGACAGCCAATGCCTACTCTTAGCTTGACTCAGTGAAATTTTGAAAAAAATAATTACTGAAAAAATGCTATAATGGCAGCGTTTTTAATGTGTCCGGACTTGATCGTGGTCAACCTTTATGTAACATTGAGCTATGTTTTGATTAGTTGGAACATACGACAAATAGTTTTTTGGTGAGAAAATGAAACAGGAATGAGGTAGCGGGGTCAAATTTTGCCTCTAGGAAGAGTAAGTGTCAATTTGTTTACGTTTGTTACACACCACCTTTTCAAAATGCACTTCAGAAATCTGTACAATTTCATATTTATGAAGGCACTGCTCGAGATGGATGGAGAGATACAAGTGTTTGTGGTCTTTATTATTTTTTTAATCATATCCAAATTACACTGGACACGATTGATGCACGGAATTGGCTAATAAAGTTCATTCTTACCTTTCTTACTCTTGAGGAATCATGTTTTTCAATCACTAATAAAGCAATGCTAACGTTAGCTAAATCGTGCTCTTCCACAATCATGCAATGTTTCTAATCGTCCTTGAGTTTTAGTTTTAGGAAAATAATTCTAAACTCGCCTGACAGTATCGTCTTCAGACAACCAAACTGTGTTCAAATGTCAGTTCAAGGAATTTGATTTTAGATCAGTTGGTTCATTTCGAATTTGACGTTTCGATGTGCAGTTATTCCAGTTATAACAGAGTAAAGGCCACAGCGGAAGCGGAACGGCAGCAGCAGTGGAACGTCCGATCTGAGTAGGCCTCCTGGTTGGGTTGAAAACTAGTTAGAACCAAATCGACTTCGGTTAGGCATTTTGATGTCATTTGTGACAACCGTCAAACTTGCCGTTTCCGTTCCTCTTCCGCCCACTATTTCAAAGGCATCTAGTTTGCTGGTCCACATATGTTATGTGTTAATGGGAAGTCAAAAGTTCTAGAAGAAATAATATATCAAAATTTTGTTCTATGGCAAAGTTCCAATAGTGTGAAACGACATTTTGAAGTGCTCAAATGATGTGATCTTTTCCGAAAAGTATTCCAAGGAATCGAACCGCCCCCTCGCCCCTACCACGCGTATCAACTCGAGAGGAAGGTTAGCCAAATAACATTACAAGTTTTATCGAGGTTCTTAATGTACTCTTCAAGCCTAAGTCATGGTCTTCAAGAGTACTGATCATCTTGGGAACGTTTCATACTTTCGAATAGTTTTAACAGTAGATTACTCAAGAAATGGCCGTACAAGTATGTCAAATGTATATTTCAGTAGTATTTTGGTAAACAATTAAAGATTTCCTGGAATTTTCAAAGACATTTCACTTCGTAGGAACCTTCGAAAATTATCAAGAGAAGTATCAGATGTGTCTTAAAACAAAAGGATTATTCAAGATTGATTAAAGCTTGCTCTGCATTGCATTCGATCTCCTTTATCTCAAACATCATCAACGAACTCCGTTCGCAATTCACATCAAGCTTTTTTCTTCATCGTCTTCTTCTTATCCTTGTCTTATTTTTCAATTCAGAATGCTTTTTGTGTGTCACAGTTAGATTACAGTCAACGATTCGGCCGGCTTTTTCAAACCGATCAAAGATAATATATTCTTATACCTACGCTACGATAGAGTGTATGCTACTACGCCTAGACAACTATAAACGGCTCCTTCCTCGATCGACGTCTCTAAGTCTGCTTCGGAAGTACTTTGGGTAGACCTGCGACTGCTAGGCTTCCGAACGCAGCCAACGGATGATGGGAGTGATGAGCGAGTGGCGGCAGAACGATCGTCGGACCCTCCTGGAGCGTTGTCGAGGATGTCATCGTCGTGGCCGTATACAGCAGTTTAGTCTTCTTTTCCGGTGCTTCGTGCAGGCTGGACGAAGAGCTCGCATCGTCCGGTCTCAGAAGAGATTCGACGTCAAACTGTCGCTTCCGCGAGAAGCTTTCCATAGCTCCTTTGATGATTGCATGCTGTTGTTCCATGGTCGTCGGATAGGCGCAGACAACCGCTGCAGCGGCGGCCGCTTGGCTCAACGGTTCCGTCGCGGTTGGCATGTACGATGTCGGATTCATGACCGGTGAGGCAGGGATCGCCGGGAAGAACTGCCTTGGGGAGCTGTTGTCGAAGATGTCGTCGTCCGAGGTGAGCCCCATATGACGGCGGACCTTACGTTGAGCTTTTCTCCGCCGGAAGTCTCCCTTCATGAAGTCATCCACGTTGGCCGGATGGACGGCCCAGTAGTGGCCTTTGCCGTGAGCTGAACGTCCCGCTTTGATGAAGCAATCGTTCAACGATAGATTGTGTCGGATTGAGTTTCGCCATCCTGGACCTCGGCTTCTGAAGTAGCTGTAGTTGTCCAAAATGTGCTGGTAGATGTCCGAGAGGACAAGTTTCTTATCCGGCGAAGTGAGGATAGCTATCGCAATCAGTCCGATGTAGCTGTATTGTGGCTTTGGTGCAGAGGACAGTTTGCTGGCATCGGCTAGCAAAGCACTGGGCCCGACTTCAGCGGGATTATTCACATACACTGATGGTTTGAAAAACCTTGATAGCGTTCGCGGATCCGTCACTATATTCCCATAGTTAAAAAACTGATTAGTTCGGAAACGTTCCACCATAGCATAGTTGTACAGCTGTAAACTGTATTGGTCAAACTGCACTAGATCGGCACAATTCAACATTGTTCTGAATCTTCTGTTTTCCTCCACTGTCACTGATTGGTTTGGTTTTCTTCGTGAAACAAATTTTCCACCGTCACGCTGAGCTTTCAAGAAAGAACGCAGATCACAGATGGCCTAAGCAGAACAAAGAGTTCCGACGCGCGCGTGGTTCGAGACTCGAGTAATTAAAAAAAAACTCTTTTGGCTTCTTCACACTGAGCTTCTGATACAAACACACAACCGGAGAGCAATCGAGCATCCGCCAAGCGCGCACTTCTAGTCGGGAGAAAATCAAACAGCTACTGACTCCCGAACCCCGAGCATCGAGGCAGCCTACTCGCATAAACATGCCAAACAACGGTCAGAAAACCCCCCCTGGCCTGCGAGGGGTAAAAGATTTATATAAATATTTGCGCAAACAAAACGAGCACCAATCGCAGCCCGCCGACTGGCAGTAGGCCACTCCCCCCGGATGAAAGCGCGGCGCACCGATTGGCCGAGGCAGCCAATCAACGCAGCCAGTGGCCAAGAACGATACGAGAAGAAGGAAAGCGCAAGAAAGAGGGTGCAGCAGTGCTGGCAGGCAGGCAGGCAAACAACGAGCATGATTTATGTTTTGCGATCTGTACTCTCTGCTTGTTTTGTGTTTATATACACAACAACCAAGCTTCTTCCAAGTGCAAGCGGTAGGCTGAGGAGGGTGGTTGGCAGGCAGGCAGACAAGCACAAACAACAACCAACGTTGATGCTATGTTGCGTGGTTCGTTGTTTTTTTGCCTTCTCCGATGTACTTTTCGGTTTGGTTCGCTGTGAGGAGGAGGATGGGAGAGAGAGTATGGTGAGTGAGTGGAAGAGTAAGAGCAAGTGGGTGGGTGGCAGGCAGGCAGAGTGGAGTGAAGTAGCATAAGCGGCACAGTGAATAGCAGGAGCAGAAGAGCGATGTGATGTGTGGTGCCAAAACGTGATAAATTATTTTAAAACACCTCAACCCTGGGGCCTGTCGTTCGTAGAAGAGCTTGATGGTGGATGGCAGTGTTGGCAAGGGTTTTTTTAGATGATAGGGTATACGTCCCTAACCTCGGTCTAATATGCAGCCATAGATTACGTTTTTAATCATAACTCATCAATTAATTTACCTGCAAACGATATTCTACTGCTAAATGGTATGCTTAGATATGCTTATCATGTCGTTTGCTATCAGGAACCGCAAAAAGTTGAAAAACTTACTTTTTTTAAGACAAAAACTCACCAGGGAAATGTATGTAATATCGGTCTATTGTCCCCAAATTGGGTCTATTTATGGATGCAACTTCGTCCTATCCTGTTTGATTCTCAAAAAAAACGCTCTTGGTAACGTTTTCTTATGTATTTTTTTTTATCACTATCACTGTTAACTTAATACTCTTCATTCCTCAAAACATTTCTTAGAGAAAATTTTACGAAAACTACATTAAATCACTCAAGTTAAAAATTAAAAATTAAAAATTTCGCTTATCGTCTTTCGACCGCAGAATATCTAAATCAAAACATTGTGATGTTCATTATACAGATTTGGCAGAAAAAATCTCCCTTCCTGTTCGTTCCTTATCATCCAAATGCAAACCACATTGTTGACGTTACTCTTATTGCTATATGCTGTCAAATGAATTTCATGGGCCATAGTTAGGAACATAGAAAAGAAATGTGTCCCTAAAGTTGGGTCCATGTTTTACTTGTGAAAACGTTGTTAAACAATTAAAATAAACATAAAATATTCAAACAGCAACTGTAAGTTTTACGTCTAGTGTGTATTATCAGGTAATTCCAATCAATAAATGCCATAATCAGGCCATTTGATGATCGTCAGTCAACCTTCCCATCTTAACCTTATAAGTCATGGCGGCTAAAAACTCCGAACATTGTGATATTCTCAACCAGTTTTATTACTTACGAGAGCTGAAAATGTATTGAAATGTTGTGATATAAATTGATTTGTGTGTGGTACACATTTATCAACCATCAGTGATCAATATTTTCCTTATTTTTTGTGTAATATTCCTTAATTAATTATTTATTTGCGTGATAGGCCGAATGAAAGGACTAGACCCACATTACATACCGTAACCCTACCTTTCAGGTAAGAATATTTTTATTTATTAAAGGGAATTTCAGCCGTAGGGTAGGGTAAATTTGCCTGCAATGGACCCCTTTCCTATAGTGGACCACTTTGGGATTAATGCAATTTTATATAAATATTGAAGCACTTTATAAGTTAACTACATTGGGAAACACCTTCTTCAACTCAGCTGCTTTGGATACCTTTTAATTCAAGGAGCTGTCGAACAAATAAAGGGCCAACAATATGGACACTGAGGTAATAGATCGTAAGAATTTCACACACCTGCTCCCTAGCAAAAAGACTGATTGACAGTTTTTCCCGAGGGGGGCGACACATCTAAATCTCAATTCTAGATACTCAAAAAATCTCACACTAGCGAATCAATCTTCGAAAAATCATCTTTCATTTCTCGCATCTACTTGCATCGTGCTTCATCTTTTTGCAGGAAATCTTGAAAATCGACATAAATCTTCCTTTTATCTACTCAGCGTGCGTGCAGCTAGCCACAGCAAAATACAATCTTTTCTGCAGCGTAGATAGAGTCGCCCCCCTCGGTTTTTCCAGCACTTTTGACTGAAAATCACACCAAAGATGATCTATACTATTGCCGGTACACTGAACGAAAACATCCGCTATACTTCGAATGATTATAGCATTGGTCGAGCCCTTTAACAATATGCTTTTGAATTTTGCATGATTGCCTTATGGTTGAATTCGTCGTCAGCTGATGAGCATCCATATGACTGTTATCCAAATAAAGCCTGATATTTATTTGAATATAGGCTGTAAAACTATTGGGATTCGGTTACCGGAGCGGGATTCGAAAGGAAAACGGAAGAACTACTTGTGCTAAACTTAACTAGAGCTTTCTTTATACACGTCTTGTTCGTACGGTTTGCACGTTAGGAATAAGAAAAATTAGTCTCCTAACAAAGTAGTCGCTAGGGAACACGCGTTGCTAGGCAGGGTGGTTTGAGCAACCAGAATAGCCGATTGCTACTTTGATAACTCCCCCTCTAAATCCGCTATTCCGAGACGTTTTACAAGTTTTTCTAGGCGACCTATTCCACCTTCACGCTTCCGTTTGAAATGTGCTCCCGGATAAATTGATGCTTTGCACGTTAGTTTCGACTAGAGGTGGGCAAAACAGCTTATCTAGCTAAGCGGTTCAGTCCCGCCCAGCTCACTAAAGGGAATCGATTCTTTTGAACAGCTCTTCAGCTCACATTGAAATTATAGAAATTTTTACACAAATTCAAAATTGGAAGATAAATAAGTGGTTTTGGTGACGTAACCCTAAACCAATCGAGCTAAATATAAAAGCTTAAAAGCATAGCTTACAACATTTTTTTTTTCATTGATTTGTTTTCCGTCGATCTTGTTTTCCGTACTGAGTACCAATGCTACCGACGCCGGGAAGGCAGCTCCCACAACCTGGACCTTACATATCGACCCATTAACTCATGAACCGAGCACCAACGGCTTTACTTTCCTTCCGAAGGAAGACGTGATCAAAGATTTTATGCCTCAGCAAATCCCAGCGGCGCCGACTGGGATTAAACCCAGGCCTTTTGGGGTGAGAGGCAATCACGCTTACCACTACACCACCAGAACCGCTATAGCTTACAACATGGCTCTGATTTTCAATTGAAAACGCCTCTAACGCAAGGGGTACTTACCTTACCAATCAAGCTAAGGCTCTGCTGTCCGAAGAAGTCGTCTCCACTCTATTCGATCCATGGCCATACTTCGCCAGCCTCGTAGTCTGCGAAGGGTCCGCAGGTCACCTTCTACTTGGTCAATCCACCTTGCCCGCTGCGCGCCTCTTCTTCTTGTTCCTGTTGGGTCGCTTTCTAGAACCATTTTCACTGGGTCATCGTGCGGCATTCTTAAGACGTGCCCAGCCCACCGTGACGCCCAATTTTTGCAATGTGGACGATGGATGGTTCTCCCAGCAGCTGGTGCAATTCGTGGTTCATTCGCCTCTTCCACGTTCCGTCATCCATTTGCACTCCACCGTAGATGGTACGCAACACCTTCCGTTCGAAAACACCAACTCCTGCACGAGCATAGTCCAGGTCTCGTGGCCGTAGAGGACCACCGGTCTAATCATCGTCTTGTAGACAGTCAACTTCGTGCGGTGGAGAATTTTATTCAACCGGAACGTCCTCCGGAGTCCAAAGTAGGCACGATTCCCTGCCATAATGCGTCTTTGAATTTCTCTGCTGGTATCATTTTCGGAGGTCACCAGTCAGCCCAAATACCCGACCACCTTGATTTCGTCACCGTCAATCTGAACTCGGGGTGGGAGGCTAACATTGTCTTCCCTAGAACCTTTCCTCTTATGTATTACGTCTTCGATGCATTGATGGCAAGTCCAATCCGCCCAGCTTCAGTCTTTAGTCTGATGTACGTTTCCGCCATCGTCTCAAAGTTCCGTGCCATGATGTCAATGTCATCGGCGAAGCCAAGAAGCTGGATGGACTTCCTGAAGATCGTGCCACTCGTGTCTATCCCTGCTCTTCTGATCACACCTTCTAACGCGATGTTGAATAGCAGACACGAAAGTCCATCACCTTGCCGTAGCCCCCTTCGAGATTGAAAGGGACTCGAGAGTGTCCCCGATACTCGAACAACGCACATCACTCGATCCATCGTCGCCTTGACCAATCACGTCAGTTTATCCGGAAATCCGTACTCAGGCATAATCTGCCATAGCTGATCACGATCGATTGGATTTGAAATCGCTGAACAAATTTCTGCAGAACCTGCCGAATCGCGAAAATTTGGTCCGTGGTAGCGCGGGCACTTATGAATCCCGCATGGTATTGCCCCAAGAACTCTCCTTCAAATGGTGATGGGCGGCGGCATAAAACTTAGGAGAGTACCTTATAGGCGGCGCTCAGCATTGTGATCGCGCGGTAGTTGCAGCAATCCAACTTGTCGCCCTTTTTGTAGATTGGGCATACGACACCTTCCATCCACTCCTCCGGTTATATCTCCACCTCCCAAATCTTGGCAATTAGCCAGTGCAGCGCTCTAGCCAGTGCTTCACCACCGTATTTTAATAGCTCACTTGGTAGTTGCTTTGTTGTCCTTCAGCCGACCGTTCTCCTCCTCAACTTCTTGAAGATCAGGGGCCGGTAGCCTGTCGTCTTCTGCGCGTGCTCCAAGCCCTGTT